GGCGGGAGCGAACAATTGTTTGTTTTGACTTTAATGTTTTTGTTTTACTTAGTTTTATTCGCGGCGGTCGACAAATTAACATTTTCTAATTGTTCGCTTTGTAGAAACGGTTAAAAAGGAGCGAGTAGTTTTCTATTAATTCAACTTATAATCATCGTAAATTAGTTGAAAATGCCAAGTGAGACCTACGTAAACGTAGGTCCTGTTAGGAATACCTCTGGCGGATAAAGTTCGAAACAAAAGAACTCATAGAACGAAAGTGATGGATACAACTAGCAAAATTGGACGGTTGAATGGGCTGGTAATGTCTGCAGAATTCGTAGGTGTCGACATACACCAGAATAAACACTGGGCTACCAGCATCACGGTGTACTGATGACCTGAAGAAAGTAGTAACAAATGGAGGAACGGAGCTCAGCAGGGTCTAATGAAGATGATGATGAAGTGAGGACTAACAGTAGTAAAATAATGTTCAGTTGTTTAAAATCACAACTGAATGACGAGAGGTACGCTGGTATAAGTCACAATTTGTGTTTGTTTTACATGACTTTGTTAGAAAAAATATTGGTATAAACCTTATGTAATTTAATAGAGACGTGGTAAACAGTGCATGCTAAGCCCTTGAAGAAACACGTAGTTTCGCACACTTCATAAAAAAAATCAACTCAAAAATGTATTTGAAATTGTTTAATTTCTGTGTTCACCGTTTGCATAAACGCCAAAGTTAGATTCTCATTAGCGTAATGCATTAACATATTCAAAGGCAATTTTAAAAGGCTTCAAAGATTGCGTCCACAGTCGCACAGCAAAAAGTGTAAAGGCTTTGTGTTCTCACAATGCAGCCGTCGCGAAAGAGTTACATCTTTTCAATTATCTGGTGCTGAATGTATCGCCTTCGGTACAATGTAGCTCCGTGCTGTTTATTTCTTTGTTGGACGATGTCGCGGTCATTACTTTCATCTAGGGCTTTCTATTTACTGCGCTATTTCCGAACCTAAGCGATACGAGGGAACGGCTTCGATTATGTAATAGTCTAATATAAGGTCAATGCGGTTGTTTGATTTGACATTCTTGGAGAAAATGCGGAGCAATTATATTCGTGTAGTATTAAAGTTTATTACAACGTAAAAATTAAATTTGACATAGTCCCAGAATAATAAAAAGCAATAATATTTGCATAACTGTTTGGAAAAATCTAAATGAGCGCAAAGTATTATAGAAAAAAAACCCTTTTATAATTTAAAAATGTAATTAGATTTAAAAAAAAATACCAACACGGCCAGAAAGAACTGGCTGTACTAACTAATTGTGCTTATGTGCCCTAATGTTTTTAATCAAAATAGAATTTTAATTTATGAAATGCCATCATGTGCAATAATAACATGTGAAAAATATTAAAGTCTTCATAAAGCGCTTGGTGTAGTCAACAATAGCGTTGTAGAAATTCAAAACGGTATAAAACAGTAACCGCAACGAAATAACAAAAGCAGAAGGTATTTTATCAAAACATTCGTTGCCGCGTAAATCAAACAAGTACTGTAAAAACACGCATGGCGGCGCTGCGCAAACAATCAAATTAATTTGGTATGCGGACGAATTTATGCATGCATTACACCGTTTGATATTTCTGTGCGCGAGTGTACTGTGCACAGGCGCGTATTAGGACGATCAAAGGAGTATTTGCGGTTGATTCCCAATGGCCGTGTTCGTATACATATGTATAAGCAATTATACTAGTGGATAAGATGAATATAATTTCTACGTTTCCAAAAGTCTGTCTGTCCTGTCTAACGGACAGGTCAGACGAGTCTATATTATTAGAGTAATTTTGTAAGTTACTTATTACTAAATCAAACAATACTTCTTTAAATGCGCATTCCAGTCCTGAAATATTCAAAAGCCGGCAATATCCAGAGTAACCACGTTTTGTGCCACAAATTCGGGATATTTATATTTAGTCGTGCAATTTTTTCCCCGAAATAATATATTTGGAGCACGTACGCCGCTGAGTGGGCCAGACGAAAATTCATAACCGATATTGCTGGCTGTATTGAAAAATAGTTGGATTGAACCACCGTTGAGTTTTCGCTTTACAAAACGATTTACATTGTTCTCAACGATATGAAAATACTGAGAGAGCCATTCAAGATCAATTCACTTATCACTTTAATATCCTATTGCAGGTGGAATGGAACCTATGTTGTAATTTACCGCATGACTCAGTGAAAAATAGAATTTATGTTCGTTCCTGTGTATGGAGTTCTTTTATCTACTTCCAATTACACCATGTTTAAAAAAATTAAATGAGATCTCTCATCATTACTTTTTACATTATTTATGTGTAAGTGTAAACTCAGTTACTTAATACCTAAACAAGTATTATTAAAGTCCACTCCATGAATTTTAATTTATGAAAACAGCGGCTAAAATATTCAATGGAGCGTAGAAAAGCTTATGATTCTATTAACATTTTATACAAGCTGTCTGCATTTGTAATGTGGGGCTTTGTTTTATGCATTCTTCTATTTTCAATTCTATTCATTATCCTTCCGGACTCGTCTGAAACCATTAAAAGTGTTATATTTACGGCGTACTATTAGCGTGAGCTACAAATAATAAATGTAACCAAATTATAATGCAATAATATTATAAAAAAATAGCATATAAGAAAAGTATAGACTTTTTATTCAAGTAAGTATTGTATATGTACCAAGGTTTTGACTGTAGGACATCATTCTCGACTAAAGTTTCTTTTCTATTTTGCTTCTAGAATATTGTTTTATAAGATAATAAAAAATCTTATTAAAATACAGAATATATTATTTATAAATAAAACCGGCAATAAAACTGCCTAACGGTATATTCTTACTGTTTTCCTTATCACCACTACGTACATAAAAAGCCCTTTAAAATGACTGCATTCGTTCGGCTTGTCTACCAGCTAGCCGTGCGTATAACAGTCCAAGTGCTTCAAGTACATTGGTAACAAGTACGTTCACACGTAACATGACACGTAAGAACTATTTAAGGAATTATATTATTCTTAGCAATTTTTTGATTGTCTGTTTTTCCTCGATAAAACAAAACAACTTTTCTCATTCACGAAGTATCAGGATTCCAATACACGGGAGGAATGTAAAGAATTCATCGGGAATTTTCAAATAGTTTTTAATAAAGTATATTGGAAGAGGAGTATAATTAATTTGCAGTAATATTATTGTTGAGTTAACACGAAATATTTTGAGTACTCTTCATAATATTAATGAGGTTCTCGCTTCAATGACGCGATGCTATAAATTCATCAGGAGCGGACATTTTCGTTAATTATATTTTATTAATTTCGCCTCCGGATATTCGCTTGAGCCGATCATTGAGAGACGCGAGTTCGCTCATAAATTCACTATTATTTATGTACGCGAAAAGATACGAATGTCTGGCGTCGATCAAGATATATTGATTACTAGCTTTCATCCGCGACTTCGTCTGCCTGGAGCGTTGATTTTTGATGCTTAAAACCTGCAATATGTCCTAAATACTGACTTGTTTATTGGCGTTTGATTTCGAAGAAATAAAAGCCATATGTATATTATAAAAGCGACACGATAAGATTTATTAGTCAAAACCAAATTTAAAATATCTTTCTATTGTGTCACTCCGTTTTGTCATCCATCTTCGGTTGATGATGTCTCTATATAATGAACAGACACGTACTGTTTATTTTGTGTAAGGGAAAAATTAAAGAAAGAATGTCATCGGACATTAAATTTATACAATACTATAAAGTTCATGTCTTACTCTTCATTAAGATGAAGAGCTAAGATTTTTTTAAATATGGGAAGCTCGAAAAAATACAACTTGACGTTTAAGATCTTTTCGTCACCGTTTGAGAGATGAAACTTGACTTTTCTTGATTAAGGAATACAGACACCGTGTAGTGTTTACTTATATTTGTGCAGCTAATGTTCTCGTATTCGAGGAACTGCATTTATTTGACATTCCATTACAACCTGTATTTGCGTTTCACGAGGCGAAGACGCGTAGCCAGAGTTTGTATTACGCGAGTCTATCGCGGGACAAAGAAAGCGTTCGTGATATGCAAATACCGCTGTCATTCCTTCAAATGAATTTGTTTTATTGTTTACGAGATGAAAAATACTTTTCGTTTGCGAATCGAGAAGGAGAATGGCCAAATATCTGCTAGCTGCCTATATACAGGAGGACATTTTGATCAAAAGTGTCATATACTGTCTGTAGTTTATGCTACTAGCACACATTTAAATTAAACACTTTAACGGATTAAAACGCGATATATATTAGTTAAACTTACATGAAAAATATTTTAACTACGGCCTAACGCTTTGGATGCTTTGTAGCATAATCATAAACAAACCTTTACCAGCAGGTTTGTATTTTGGACATAATTATTTCATTTAATATACCTATGCAACACTATGCAAATACAAAATAAGTAAGATGTATAAAAAGTGCGGTTATCTTCAGACATTTCCGATGCAATTAACATAAAATACATTATATTTTTCAACGAATTTCATTAAGAGTAGATAGGTAAAATAGTCATTTCTAGTGGTCCTTGTGTCAACATGTCAACTATTATAGGTTATATACCTTTATAATATGACACAACATTTATTTTATATAGGTCGATATACCCTAGCCATATTCCATCTCTCTAGATGCGCTATCGACTATTTTTGGCTTTGGATTTTCGGAAATCTAGACTGAAACCGACACGCAATTAAACTTCACGGCTTTTTCATCTGTGGATGGTAGTTCGTGACCGGGACGGAATTTAGATATTCCTAGAATCATGATATATTCAGGTTTCCAGACGCAGTTTAACATGTATCAGAAGAAGCATTCCATTCTTCCATTAGACTTATGAGCCTGTCAGAATATGAGGAAAATAATAGCGGAACAGACGTAGAAATGAGAATATAATTTCTTTAATAATATATTACTTTAGTATAGAATCACTTTATTCAATTCTTGGACTTAGTCTTGTTAATCCAGCTAACGTAGCGGTATATCCTGGCGTGTAAACCGGGAAGGTACGTGAAGAACTGGCTGACCACCCCTGCTAGTTTGCCCTTCTCTACCACTGGGCCGCCGGCGTCTCGCTGTCAAAAAAGAAGAAACCAATACAATATACAAGCCCTACATCTCCCTTTTTTACCGCCTCTGTAGCCAAATGGTTAAACGTATTGCCTAGCATAGCGTTGAGCGCGAGAGGTCCTGGGTTTGAATTCCAGGGAAACAAAATTGTTTCGGTCGGGCAGAGGACAGAAGTCTGATCAGCTATCTGCCCGTTAAAAGAATGGATCAACAACAACAACAAATCAGTGAAACGGACACTGAAATGTGTTCGCCCTATGCCCCACGATAGGGAAACGGGCTTTCACTTTTATATCTCTTTTTTATATATATTTAACGAAAATTGTATATTAATAGCAGTTGAAATTGAGTAGCCCCGTAAAATTGACCTTAGATGCACTATGCATTTATTTTGGCTTTGGACATTGAACACAGGCTAAAACCAAAACGTGGTTTTAATCTTAACGGTTGCTCTGTCTGTGCGTCTACAGTGTGTTTCGATTCGTAACACGGACAGGTTTTTGATATTGCTACCACGCATTCAGTGTTAAGTGTTCGTGATTTAGATTGATTGATTTGAACATATTATGATACGTTAGTTATTAACTTATTATTGTAACTATTATATTAACAATTCCACTAAGTCCTATTTTATCAGGTTTATTTATTATTTTGGTATTATGGCTTTTATTCACCGTATCTTTATAAATTATTAATCCAAAAACGTTGTAATAGCAGTGTTGTACAATGAAATAGGGTCGACATGTTTATTTTGTCCTTTTACTTACGTAGAAGTCAGCATCTGTTGTAGAGTTCGCTTGGTCATTCGAGCAAAGGTTGAAATCATTGATGAAACCATAATATCTCTTACAGTCCTTGTTGGGAATAGATATTTGGTATTTTTCTTGCAAATATGGTGTTTGAAATGAGTCCTGAAAATGAGATGATCAAAACTTATTAATGCATACATATATATTATATTTTAGCATCATCATTATTTTAATAAATCATTATTAAATATATGTATATATGTATAGAAATAAAAAGAGTATTTCTGTGAACTTCAAGCTTACCTTTATAGTTAGAACTAAAGAATATATTTTAATTTGGATACTACAGATTTGAATCTTCTTTTTTTCATATAAATTGATTAAGCAATATTACCCGTTCGGTTTTCCACCCATATGTCGTTAGGAGCACATTGTTCTTCGTATCAGCTTTCGGTAACGCTATTGCTTTCACGTTAGAATCGAATTTAATTTCTTCCACCTTCAAAAGGGCAATGTCAAATTTCAATATTATTGTCGCATTATATTTCGGATACACAAATGTGTCCGTCACTGGATAACTCTGCCCTGTACCGTTAACCAGTTTAGTTCCCACAACGACGAATAGTTTTGCGTCCTTTTCTAAGCTAAGGTAAAACAAATTAAAACAGTTTTAATAAGAACAGAAGGAGAAACTCGTAATTTTTTAATTCTAAATTTTTGGCTTTGCTTACGTCAGGTAAATAGTATTACTGTTTTAAGTCCACAGCTGATCAGAAATAGTGAAAAAACTTACTCAACCAAAGTGTGGGCTACTGTTATAACCCACTTCTCGCTTATAATAGATCCAGAGCAAATATGGCCATCGTCTGTTCGTACCGAGGCCTGGTATGGCACTACAGCAGTCGCATCTTTAGTATGTACTGCAATGTAACATGTCTCCTAGTTATAAATAAATATTGGATATGTATCATAAAGAAATACATATTATATTGGTTCATGTCTCACTTTCTATCATTTTTTAAAAATAAAAGCCTTTGAAAACATTAATATTTTTCACATGTTATCAGGACTTGAACCGGCATTGTCAGCGTTCCGTGCTGTTGCTCTCAGAGTCGAAACATTTTTTCAATTTATTTTAGAATTTTAAATTATAAAAGCCTTTATTCAACACAGATTCCTGCACGTTTAATAATTTCAATAAAGAGGTTATAATATTTTATTTTTAAGGAGCTAATTAAAGTTTTACATTTCATCTTAGTATGAAATATATATGTATGATATATTTTTTGTATGATATATTCTACAGTTATTTAATTTTAGTTTAAACAATGGTACTTATACAATACAATACAGGTACTTATACAGTACAATAATCGAAAAATAGGCTCACCGTTATAAAACACTGAAAGTAAAACACCTAACGCGAATAATTTGTACATTATCTAAGGTATACAGTACACTTAATACGATAATAATGATACTGGTTAAAGACAGTGCTATTTTTATACCGTCAACGAAGTACTTAAAGATAGGGTCAAATCCATACAGAATTTAGTTAAAATATTTTTATTATAATGAAAGTAACGTCTACATGAGGTCTATCTTGCGTCGCTACAAATAAATCGCCTTTTAACTCTTTTAAATTGGTTCTATTTTAATGTGAAATATCCAATTGAACTATTTATATGAGATGTCGTATGACTAGGGCATTTCGCCTTTCATGAAAAGAACACTATGCTTGTCTGTCATAAAAAAAATATGAAAAATTGAGTGTAAGATTGGTTATATAAAATGAAAATAGTTACTTAATAGAAATATTTATATTTTATTTATTTAAAATACCTAATACATTTTGTGTACTCCGCTTAATTCACCTGTTTCTTGTGTATGTACAAGTGTAGTTACAACGTCTTTTTCAATATTCTAACATTCTTAAGTAATTAATTTCAGATGAAATTTTGCAGAATTTTTGAGTTATTTTATTTTTCATTGGTTTATCCAGCATGTTTCGAATAAAAATGGTTTAGGGCGCACTTTTTATTGCAGATTCTTCTCAAATAAAAAGCGATCCTCCTTAGTCAAGTGAACAAATTAAAAATTATAACGACATTTGAAAAAAGATAATTATATTATTCCAATGTTTTTTTTGTTTGCGTCTGAAGCTAAGTACAAATATTGGATGGGAATTGAATGTAATTGTTTAAAGGTTTGTATTTTCTATAAAAAATAACACGTACCTATACTTTTACTTTCTCCTCACAAATACTTAGAAACACATGTAAGCTAAGACATAAGTAGTATAATAGCTAGTTATATGATAGCTAGTTATTTTATATCACACGCTTTATATTATAAATTTAAAATTCTTATCGTTAATTGAAGCTACTGTCAAATATCTACAATAAATAGATGCAATGTAATTTAAATGTTACCACATTTTTTACATTACATGCTTACATTTGAATTTTAATCGATTTTTTTCAATTTAAATAGGTTTTTTATGCATATATAATGCCATTGTGTACAAAAGAATAAAGTTTTCCTCGTTAATGTTTCTAACATATTCTTTTTAAATATAATAATTTGTTAACCTACTTATCTCAGGAAAGACCTGATATCACATGCCCCTTCTGCCTTCTTCAAAAATAGCCTCATTTCTTTTTATATGACATACTGTGTATTTTCACGTTAAAACCATATTTCCCAGTAAAAATACAGATAAAAAACCATGAATAGATTAGCGTGTTTCTGTTCTCAATATGTCATGTTTGTAGAGCATTCCGTTAGGCTTTTGTCAATGTTGCCAGCGCAAAGAATTGGAACTAATTTCTAGAACGCACTCTATTGTTGCTTGTTGAGACGGGAAAATAGCATTTATTAGGTGTTTAAATGATTCTAAAGTGGGTTTTTTTCTATAAACATAAATGTATTTTACTTACCAAATAAATACGCGTAAGTAAGTGGATTAAGATTTTTACATTTTCAATACAGCTACGTTTCTTTTGTTTAAAAATGTTACGATATGTCCAACACTAAAATTAATAGATACAAAGCTTTGGTTGAAACTTCCAATCAGCTTTCCAAAGTAAAAATGGGTCAACAGCGCATCTTGTGAGATGTTATATATATGGCTCGGATATTTTACCTTCCATCAAGTTATCACCATGCTTGTCTATCCTCGTTCAGAAATTAAGATATACTTTAGATGTACTTGATAAGAGTTGGTTTGATAATTTTTGAAATACAATTTTTTATGTCTTTACCGTGCCACGTTTATTTTATCAACTGCATTAATACATTTTAATGATATATGCTTTTGTTCCAGAACATCCATGTGCAGATGTAAGAACGTAACGGTGCATAGAACTAGTCCGAAAATGAAGAGGCGCCTCCCGACCGTCCGAGAGGATACGCACAAGTGTGACAGTGATGTGGTGGTGTACCTCATGGTGACGGCGACGGCAGTGCTAAGTTACGTGAACAGTTTGAATGGGGATTTCGTTCACGATGACATCCCGGCCATAGTGACCAATCGTGATGTCACGGGGGGCGGTTTGAGGCAGTTGTTCTTGGACGATTTCTGGGGCACGCCTATGGTCGATCCCAACAGTCACAAGTCCTATCGGCCGTTGACGACGCTGTCTTTTAGGTGAGTGCTATTTCATATATGGCTGTATACTAAATAAAACACATTTAACTGTAAATCGCAAAATATATTAGTTAACTTATTTATTCTGTTTTGGGTGCTTCGAATAAAACCGTTAAAAGTACTTGATTTAAATACGATAGAATACTTTACTAAATTTAAATTGAACTACTGAAGAATAAACTGTTATAATTTTTTAAAAGTATTTTTACAAACCAGTTAATATACTCAAAATTATTGTTTTTCAAAAGGAAAATACGTTTCTTTGACGGGAGATTACACCTCTATAGTATATATACATAAAGATTAAACAATTGAGCGTATACAATTGAAACGAATTAACTACTGCATATTATGCGTAACGTTATACAGTACAGTGGTAACAGTTAATTTCCGCACAAAGATGAAATTCCAAACTTCAGATCAGCGTATCACCCAAATAAACTTTGATATGCAATCTCGAAGCGCAAACTCGTCATAGAGACTGCAGTATTAATCATTATTAGTTCGCGGAACTCCCGCGTTAGCGCTTGCATAGAAATATCCCAGATCTTGTACTAAGCAATCAACTTGTAACTTAACTCATATTAAATTGATCTGTAAGTTTTGGCAATTTGGATAAATCGGTTTGCATTTCCGTTCGTTGGTTTATGCTAGTGTCGCAGATGCTAAGTTTTAAGTTAGCATCGAATTTCCTTGAAGAAGTCCCTCACCAATCGTTTTGAGTGAAGCGAATAAAATGTTGAATGTGATATTCACTAGCTTTGCTTGCAACTGTATTTACTTTTGAACGTATATTTTTATCTATCTATACTAATAGATAAAGCTGAAGGATTTGTTTGTTTGTACGCGCAAGTTTTAAAAAGTACTAGTTGGAATTGGAACATTCACAATAAACGCGTTCCGTTGCAGGCGCCGTGAAAACGGGTCAAGATACCTAAAGCATGTGTAGGAAAGAATTATTCCTCTTTAAATGATTCAAAAACATGTCCCCAACAGTATATGTCTATTTTTTCAAATTAACATGAAGAAACGACGCTTTTGACCGACGTCGTGATTAGGAGCTACAAATTATAAAGATAAGGAGGAGGTTTAAAAAAGAAAGTTTTCTTGTCCAAAATAACTTATTCTATGCGAACGAAGTCGCCGTCACATCTATTTTATCACATTTATTAACAATTTAAATCAAAATCCGTTCGGTAGTATTTTAAAAAGAGGCAGAAAACGTATACCTTTCAAGGCTGAAGATTTCAGATATATTTAAAAATCACACGCAACACGTATTTTTTCCGAAAACGTAATACAAGTATGGTTATCTCTTTGCATTTCAAAAAGCACACGTATTTTCTGTAAATTTACATTTTCTCTTTCATTAACCGAAGAAAGGGTGAAGAATATTTGTAATTTATCGTAGATGAATGGAATAACGTGTTGATATATTAACTTTGGGGTCCACACGCCTCGTGATAAATATAACCTTCTTCGTACGATTTATGACCGACTTCTAGACGAAATGAATGGAATAACGCATTATGAGCGTTTACCTCTCCTTCTTCACTTCTTCAGGTGTGCTGTCTCGCTCCTGCTTAGGGAACATTCGTTAGATAGAGTAAGGAGGAATATGGAAGCTCGTGAATATGACATGACTTGTAAAACTTTGAAGATTCGGGGATCCGCGGAGAATTAATAGTTTTTATATTCAGATGTAATGTAAAATACAGGAGTTGTATTAAAAAAAATGTTAACATTATAGGGATTGAAAATGCGAAGGTATGGTAGGTAGGTAAGTAGGTACTGGCAAAACGTATTCATTTATATGTGTTATGTGTATATTTTCATAGTTGCGGGTATACGATTTACGATCTACAATATTATATTCATAGAAAGCAATTAAATATTTATGGTTTCTTATTTTAGTAATTCCTTAATACCTGTCACTTTGTTAAACATGGTCTCTGCCGTATGTCACGTTTAACTGTCACCTATGATTTGTCAAGGAGGCAATCGCGCGACTGTTTCCGTTTATGCACGTAAACTGAGACTCACTTGGGTTCAAACGTCGTCTGCGCCGGGTGTGCGCATTGACTTTATGACTATAGTAATCGGTTATTTCACAGGCAAGTAGTTGACTTCTGTACCCTGCCCGACCGAAACAATCTATATTTTCCCGGGTTCGAAGCCCGGACCTCTAGCGTCTATTGCTAGGTTTAACCATTTAGTTACAGACGTGGGCGAGTATTGTTATTTGATTATCTATGTTAAAGACGTTACTTTTAAATAATTTATAAGACATTATAGATATTGTAATCGCAAAAAAGCAAGAGTATTTTCGAATATTTAAAATGATACAAGGTTCAGTTATGATGCTATCAACGTAAACAATATTATGGTTGAGTCCCATCAATTGTATCGTATAATTACATGAGCCTTTGTTCTCCGGAACAATGGCCCAAATCGGATTTGAAATAACACCTCCGCTAATATGTGATTGAACAATGTACCGCACATATCACACGGCCATAATATTCACAATTGCTACATTTATTTTCGTTACTGTCTATTGTGTATTGAGATGGGATTCAGAGAAAATGAATGAAGAATGAGGCTCTAGTCCTACGTTTTTGCTTATCCTTTAAAGGGTTTGACGGTCGGTGGACGAAACAGTGTTTTCATATCCTCGAAGAAAATTTTGTGTTATGGTAGCAATGTAAGGCAATCATCGAGTGTACGGCAATCAACGAGTTGTGGGTTCGGCTCCCATCGAGTTCAACATGTTTCTAATAAATTTATAATTGTTTTGAAACATGTTAGAATTTTCTAAAGGAATTCTGTCCCGGTCTCGAACCACCGTCCACGGAACTTTAATCGAGTTTCGGTTTCAGCCTGTCGATTTCCAAATATCCAAAGCCAAAAATAGGGTGCCAGCACATCTTGTTGAGATTTTATTTGACTGAGGTGTTTCGCCTTCCATCAAATAAACCTCATGCTAGAATATTCTCATCTTTCACGATGAGAATGTTATTTATTTGTGAAATATGTATACTTGTGACCGTTTCAAGCGTAATATTCTAATTACTAAAGGGATATTTTATAATTTATTTGTGTAACAACAAAAGCTGCAAATAGCGAATTGATTTCAACGCGGACAATAAAATGAATTAATGACCAATAATGTTGGCGATTTCAACAGTGATTTAAAATTCATTAGTACGATTTGACGTATCGATATCGGTCTATTGTTTGGTCTGTGTCCTATGAATATTTATGCCGGGGCTTGAAACGTTGTGTTAGAATATTTGAAACACCATTTTCCTAATTCTGTTCACGCAGCATAGCTTCGTGACAGTAGAACTGTGGGTTTTCCTCACTAACCTAAGGATATTTGTACGGGCGAGGAACGATACAACTTCTTTTTCAGTTAAAAAGCCATTAGACAAATGTTACAAATTGTTTAGTGTCTCAGCACGAGTTTATTTTTACGAAGCCATATAAAAATATGATATAATAAATAAAAGTATATGGTTGGAATATATTTTTATTAAAACAGTACCTTCATGACATCGCAGATAGCGCTTACTTGACATTTCCTGTTGTCTGCTTTTTTTTAAAGAGATAGATAGAGAAGAGGTCGGATAAGCATGGGGTTTACTTCATGGAAGGGGAAATACTCCAGTCATGTACCATTTCAACGAGATACGCTGGCGTCTTACGGCTTGTGGATGTTTTTAAGTTTAAATCTGAAATACATGAAATGGAGGCAGCCTTACGATAATACATTGTACGAATCTTTTGACAGAGAATCGGTTGAATCGAAAATATTGTTCTGTGAGTAGCCTTCGGCAAAGGTAACTCGATTTGTGCTTTCATATCTCCAAGGGAAGAGTGGACAGTTCAACTGCCGTGTATTGAATTTCAATTGTTTGTTTGTCAAAGATTTTATTGAAACGGATTGACGTGGCCTTTGTGCTGGAGTTTTCATATTCCATTCTCTTCTATTAGCTAGAAAACCGATTGAAAGCTCACTACACAATCCATAATGCCCTTGATTGTATATTCCCAGTAAATAAAATAAGATTGAAACCAATGAAAATTAGTATATTTTATCTACTAGTGCTTATAACAAATACATTAAGACATGATTATATTTTTTTACAATCTTTTGTTGAGTTTTAATTACTTTTTTATATATTTAACTTTATTAATTAACAAAATATTAATCAAAATAACTAGCATAACACTTTTTGTAGTTTTAACTATGGCCTTTCTAATGTTTTAAATCATTTTAATTTTTAATATACAGTTTACCTCTTTTTATTTGCTAACCTTGAATGAGAAACTCTTAATTATTTTAGGCTTGGATTATATTTTTTAGTTACAAATTGTTGTATAAATAAAAAATTCAATACACTTAATGAGATATATGTGAAAGAATCTAAAAATTTAAAGCCCTACAACGGGCATGTATCATTGTCTAAATGAAAATTTATAAACACGGTTTGGAGCGGCTCCAAATAGTTACACAACGCTCTCTGTAGCTAAAAGCCTTTCTTCTTATATAGATATTTACTGTACAACCGTTACTAGGGATGGATATAATAGCAAAGTCGCAGTTATTTGTCGTTACAGTGATTTCAACTTTGTTTGAACTCTTACTAATGTGATTAGACTAGAGCTATGAATATTAATTTGTGGTTATTTATCGAGCATTTAGCAATTATTTTAAAGGAGTTGAAATCAAAACTTAGAAGTATATATTTTATTCAGCCCATATAGGTAACAAAAAAGTAGTCGCTTTAAGTGAGAACATTTTCCCACATCAATAGTATTTATTAAGTTTTAACTTTGTTTAAAAAGCGTTAATGTTTAGTGGTTTTTATTTAGTTAATTAAGCACAGCACTAGTGGTCGCAGCGGAAATGAAACTGTTAATTTCCGCCTTTTGATTAAAACTTTAGATTAATATTATTTTATTGCTGCTGTTGTGATAGTTGCGCTGCAGCTGTCAAGAATTTAGAAAACTTTATTAATCCAACTGTAAAATCTACCTGTTTCTAATATTATTTACTTAGAGTTGAGAACCATAAATGTTTACTGCATTGTAGTTTCATATCATATCATTATCCATAATTTTTCTGGCAATCCAATATCCCATTGCGTATACTGTCTCTTGTATACCCATTTAGTTCTTACTATTAAGAGATAGAATATTTCTAGTATATAACAACAAAAGATTTAATATTACGATCCATTATATTTAATCTTTAGTATAAGTAAAATACCAAATTACTGCCACTGGTTACAAGAACCCTTTTGAATTAGTCTTTCATAGTAGCTTTATACAAGTTTGCGATTTCGCGAGATGTTTTATGATCTACGACATTGTGACATTAAAATTACAATTGAACGGAGTAATGTCAAATATAGAGCCTAACCTAATAATAAAAGAAACGTTAAAGGTTCAAAACACGTAGCGAAGTTACGGATTCCATAAAACTTGTTTTATTTGCTATCGTAAAAGAGACACCGCTCCGCTCTGATTTTATTTTACGTTTTATATCAGAAGCATTATTATTTCATATTTCAGCACAGGCCCGATGCAGCCTAAATAAAATGTGACGTCATTTCAACTTAATGACTCTCTGCTTACTGACAGTGGGAGCAAAGTAATACAAATGATAAGGTCATTCATCATAATTTCATAAGGTAGTTTTGTTGTTTTAGAAACAAAGTAACTCTTATAGTTAAATATTTTTTTTAACAAAAAGTAACAAACTCATTCGTCCTAAAATATATGTTTTTACGAGTACGTAATATTTATGTGTAATATAGAACAGAAAGAAAACGACTCCGTTAATTAGCCCAGGAACATGACGACAGAACTAGAGCAAAATACGTGCATTCTTATAACTCGAACCGCAGTCCTTTGTGGCAGGGCAAAAGCACTTAGGTATATAATATTTTTATTGCAGACCGACCCTGTTTAGGAAGCAAAGGAGACCGGCTAAATAAAATATTCTTTTGGATGCCTGTATTATTGCTGAGTTTATGTTACACAATATGACCCTTTCGGTCTCTGTTTACGCGGCTTTAGGTTTTGTTTGTATGAAATTTGAGACGGCCTAAGACTTGTAATTCTGTGTATATTTAGCTCCCTACATATATTATGCTTCTGATATATAAGAAAGCCCTCAACAAGGTCACACGATATAATTAAAACTATTCAATACAATTATTAATTTATCTTAATTCTCTTTTAAATGTCAAAAAACATTAATTATTAAAAAGTCCACTGTTTTAAATTGTTTTTTTTTTTTGTAGGGGGGTACACAAAAAAAACAATTTAAAACCGACACATATCTGTGTCTATTTTTCTGGAACAATCGCCCAATTTCTGATGTGCTAGCTACGCAAACTCTAGCCAATTGCAACGTAAAATTTCTTAAAGGGGTCGTGATAAATGTGCCTGCGCGGGTGTTTAGTTTATCGTTAGTAAAACTCTTAGTCGAGAGATAACTCACCATCTCTTGAGCGTATCTAAATATGCAATAAATCAAAAATATTAAGAGGAGGCGCATTTATGAGGCTCGTAAAGCGCCAGATAGCGCGTAGCGAGATAAGGTGCTCTGATGCAGTTTATGGCTGAAACAACCTTCGGCTGCCTCGAAGATAATGTACTCAACATGTACTC